ATATTAAACTATAGTTTACTAACATTGCAAATTTTTGAGTAATTAAAGTTTTATATTTTAATAAATAAATTTTTGAAAATACCTAAAGAAAACTGTCCTTTCGGTAATACTACATTACAATATTTAAGCACTAAAATGTGAATTGCAATAAAGCAAAATAATATAAAACGTGTGATTATTTTTAATGTTTTTTTAATATAAGACTGAAAATCATTTATATTTCTTTTTTAATCGAAATAATTTGAACGAATATTGAAACAGGAACATTAGAAAACCAATAAGAAGCATAGTATCATTTATGTCTGAGATCACTTTTATAAATTTGTTAAAATCCGTTTAGGGCCTAGGCGTCAATTTTAAGGAATATTTTTTATTATCCAAAACTATTCCATTCAATTAAAGGAGATGATTCGGATGTTGCCAGGAATGAAAAACATATTAAAGTATAATGATGTGTACTGTGTGCCAACGTTTCAACCTAAATTTTTCGCCTTCGCCAGTAATAATCAAAACAATACTTTTGTATGTTCAATTGTATTTTTTTTCATATTGTCGGTTTATGGCCAAACATCACTAAGTACATTTTTGATATAGCTGGACATTAAGAATGTTTTTTTTGTGAATTATCATCTTATTTAAAAAAAAAAAAAAAGTAAGTGTACCAAATTGACAAACTTTTTATATTTCAAACACAGCTTTAACAGCAGTATATAGTGTTTTTATTTCACAATAGAATAGACCGTGGTGCAGATTCATTTTTCTCAAATTAATAACATCCGCCTGACACTTTGTAAATAGCGTCATCTCATCGTAACCTACAGATATTTTATTGGGGCGTTTTCAATCTGGAGATCCTTAAACTTCGTCTATTTAATTAGGTAATAGAAACACCTGAATACTTTTTTTTTTTTATTACATTATCTTATGATTCTATATGGTAAGCAAACGGGTATTCATGAATTTTCACTACTTAAATAAATAGACAAAGTTTGCCGATCTCCAGATTAAAAAAAAACTAAATTCTAAAACAAAAATATACCCTGTTGTAAAAAATCAATGCGCATATTATTTATGCAATATATTTTTTATCTAACAGTTTCATCTATGAACAATGTACTAGAAACGTTCACATTGAATAATCTCATCTCAAAATCTGTAAAAATGCCATGTTTCTGAAGTGACCGATTCATTCAAGTCAAAGCGGCATTTATTTAATAACGGCTTTAACTTTTTTTTTTAATTATTTAAAATAAAGAGACGAAAACGGGACTCACAAAAAGTTGAGGAAGTCTAGACAATTTTTTATTGTACGACGGAAAATCACGATAATGCCGAGAACATTAAGTTTCTGTCAACGGATGAAATCTGAATCTGAAGCAAATCACACCCAGTTTCATCCGGGTAATTTTGTCGTCCACCACGGTTTTAAAAAAATATAGAATACCGTTGCTAATATTTATATAAATAATATAAAAAGATTTTAACAATGAGTCATCTGGTTCAAGATAACTTCGTAGTCGTTTTGGTGTGGCCTCCATTCTCAAGAATTGCTTTTGCAACACAGGTGGATCCATAGGGGGCTTTGGGCTGAAGCCTCCCAAATGGTAGAATATAACTATATTTTACACAAAAAAAATATCAAAAACTATCTCTTAAAGTATTCTAGTTCGTGTAATTATATTTAATACGACTTCAAGAACCACTTAAACACCATTTCATATTGGTAGTTATTTTTTTTTCAAATTAATTGTCTTTTGTATTTATATGAAAAAGAAAAAGCTTTTGGGCTGAAGTCTTCCCCCAAAATTAAATCCTGAATTCCACTAGTGCTTTGCCACAACAGGGGCTTACATTTACAATTATAAACCTATGCTTTGTTATAAATCAAATAAAAATATCAATTCCTCACACTCAATGTGGAAACCTGTGATTGCAAAACTTTTGTATTTATAAATTTATTTTATTGTTGCCTAAATTTTAATCACACAAATTAGTTTTATTATTACAACAATAACTAATTTTTGTGACTTAAAATGTTGGCATGTTTATACACAATTGAGTATTGATATATATACAATATATTGTTGAAAGTCACCAAATACATTTCTGATATAGGTTAACTTTCAAATATATTTTTGTGATTTTCCATCTTTTTATCTATTTAAAAAATACCACAAGTGCATGAAAATAACAAACATCCTTTTATTTACCATATAGGGCTGCACTAAGTGCACAACTTTCTGATTTCACAAAGGGAAAATTTATCAATGCTCCTTAATAATTTGAGACTATGAAATGCAACATAATGACTTTTTGGAATTAACGGATGATATATATCCGCTAGTAGTATACTAGCATTAAACTTTTAAAAATTTCAATTTGAATAAAATTTTGTTTTATGAACGTTTTTTGCCTCTACTAAAAAGTTGGGATTTGACTTAATTGCTCAACAATAGTAGAATGTCAATGTGAGCAGCATTTAACTTTCAATAAAAAAAAATATTCGCTTAACATAGGTTTCTAATTTATTCCAAATAAATACAAAATAAAATTCTTAAATCAATACATTTTTTAGAGAAGGATAAATATACAGCTTATCAATTATGAGGATGAAACAAAATTGTCAGGAATTTCAGTCACGATAATATTTATAAATGTTACCATACCTAAACATGTGGGTAATCTTGGATGCCTAGACAAGAACAATATTAATTATTTTGAAATTAATTTTCTAAATGATAAATTACTCGTCATTATCAATCATTTTACACTGACTTTCAATATCTAACAAATCCGGATAAGGTAAAATATTAATCAGTGTTATTTTATTAATTATTATAATGTTAAAAATATATTAAAATAAATAGGATATTTGATGGTCATAAGACTAACCTATAAAATCCTAATCATGGTCAGACCTAAAAATATTCTCATCTACGAAATTCAGTCGACCTCTCTCAGATTTCGATGATCTCATACAGTCATGTAAACACTAAACTAATATTCTCTTCATAATTCCTTTGATATCGAGTCAAATAACTTTACATTTCTGATTCAGTAATGCCATCAAATCAATTATATAAACAGTTATAGATTCAGGCAATTATGTATTGTGCATTCCTCTAAATTTTTTATTTGAATATTTTATAAAAATTATAATTCTTCTTTTTCTTAATAGTTAATCTATTCATTATTCTGAATATTTTTTATTTTATATATAATTAATTTGAAAAAAATCAACAGTTTGATAACATTAGCTTACTTCTACAAAAAAAAACATTAAACATGCATCTTTCATGTATCAGCATAAATTTATCGTAAAGAAATATTTAAGACAGTTAATATGAAAAATTAAAAGAATTAAACTAAAAATAGCTGAGCTTTATATTGGATTATACCAATTTAAGGGAAACTAGCACCACAAGTAAAATTTTAAGTATTCAAACATGTGGGAATCAAACTCACACCGGTTTAAAAGGACACTCTGAGAACCTTACAGCCACAGCTTCTATTTAATAGCTGTCATTAGTTTATGCTGTTAAGTAAGCATAGCATATAAATAATAGTTGAAAAACAACTAAGAGAAATTTTTCTCTAAGATTACTATATTAGCAACTAAAATAAGACAACTAAACTTTACTTGATAACTAATTAGCAAACCAGTCGCTCTATTCATAAATTTAGTAAGAAAGCAAAACATAAGGATGCCAACAAGTATGAAAGTACCCAACTAATGTTATATCCTAGAGATCTGCTATACAATATTTATTTGTTAATAGTGTGAAAAATGATGAAATTTTCAAAGGTATTACTCAGCAATAAAACTTGATAATATACCAAATAACTAAATTACCCATTATAAATAAAAAATACAACACCAAAGAATGTAATTCATTTAATTAATTCATCTAGATGAATGTAATTCATTAGTTTAGTATTAATACTTTTAATTTTTTTAATGTATTTTTAAACATTACGTGGTCTTGGTTGAAAAGGTCCAAACTAACAAATTTGTACAAATAGAGTTTTCAGAGAAATTAAAATCAATTTATTTAAATCCAACAGCAAGTAAAACATTATCTTTATAATTTATAGATAAAAGTAAGATATTACTTAAAACAAAGTGAATATAAAAAAAATATTAGTTTTAATGATTTCCGAAAGCATTAGAAATTCCTTTTCTTTTCAAAATCATTCATTTTTTTCTAGTATATATTTCAGGATTTTAAATCTCAAAGTAAATAATATTTCTAAAGCCAAATTTTACAAACAAAATGATATCTTATTACATAGTTTTGTTATTAAACTTACAAAGTGATATAGATTAACGATCATTTAGGAAACTAAATATTTTCAAAAAATGACAAAATCAACTTAATCTATACTAGTGAAATTTATTGATAAATAGAAAAATAATAACAATTTTCTTGTAAATATTTTCATATTGTAGATATTTAATATTACGTCATAATGAAAAGAATATGAAGAACTCACATTGAATATTCTAATCCATTTTTGCATATTTTTAATTTTTTTTATTATGTGTCTTAAATTTAAGGTTCTATTCATTTTTTTCTGTATTGAAGTCTATTAAAAATTTATAACTAATTAAAATAATGTTAGTTCCTTTTTATTAAATTAAATAAATAAAAAGAAAATCAGATAATCTAAGAGTGACACATTTAGCACTACTGGATTGATGCATTCCCTTGATGAGAATCAATATAATTAGGAAATATAAGAATAAGGATAGGAAAAAAATATAATAAGCAAACATTTTATTTTAATAAAATAAATAATTTTACTAAATAATCAGCATTTGGCAATTTATTTAATACTTTATTCAATAAAATAATATTAGTACAAAGTAACAGATCATAAATTCTATTACAAAGATTATATAATATAATAAATAGCTATATACAAAATTTATATTTTTGTTCAATTATAGGAAATGCAATACCTTTTTCCTCTTAGCCAAATAACAAAAAGATGTATGTATGTATGTATATTATATAAATCAATATACATACATAGATGCCATGGCCTACTTAACAATTTTTATAAGTGAATGAATTGAATGAACAAGATTGCAGCTAGAAGATGTAACTACTGAAGAACCTAAAAACAATTACAAAAAGAAAAATGTAATAACTTAAAAAATACTATTTTCATTTTTAAGAAGCTAATTAGTTATTAAAGAAATCATAAATACATATAATTACTGCAATACCGATATGGCAAACTTGATTTTTACTGATTTAATTTAAGTTTGTCTAATGATACTAGTTGCTCAAGAAAATTGTGAGAACAGTCTAAATGAAAAATAATATATATATAACATCAGACAACCAGGTTGCATTAAAATAAAAATTTGCTTGTTTAAATAAAAATTTGCTTTATCAAAATTTTAGATTACTTGAAACTTTAATTTCTTAATCACTTACTTCACAGAACACCTGAAAGGAGTTCACAGAACACCAGCACTCTACATATTGGTGGTAGAAAACTAAAATTCTAAAACAATAGGCTAGTGGGTATATACTTACATTAATGTTGACAAAGAAATGATAGGTAACAAGATGTAATTGGTCCAGGACCATACTACATATTAACTATTTCAAGAAGAAAAGAAATTGAATCCCGGTAATAAAGAAGGAGAAAATATAATGGACTGGGTTTCAAAATTTGATGTGGAAATATTTAAACTTTTTTTAATCAATTTGACAAATGCAAATGCTAAATTCTACTTTAACCTGACAAAAAATGAGTAAAGAACAATAACGAACCTCCAAACAGACCATTGTATTAACAGTATTATCTCAAGAAGATGGAATTAGTGAAATATTCTATCTTTTGTATTGGCCTACAAGGATTAAGAAAAGGCTGACGCATTGAGTTTGAATGCGAAGCCCATACTTTCCTTTAATTGCAGTTAATAGGCAATACTTAATTCAGCAGACATTACAAGATCAAATACCAAAGAATTAATGCACTTCATAAGAATAAAATTATTTATACAGAATCTTAAGAGGAATATAGGGATTCTTACAAAATATTCATATGGGTCATGATGAAGGAGGGTTTTCCATCACTCATTGAGATCTGTAAATCGGTATGGGAGGAAATTATTCAGCATTTCATCCTTTCTATTAAAAGCTATAATTCAAAATTGTAGCTTTACGCGATGCCATGTTAGAGAGGAGAAAAGGAGAAAAGTACTGTTGAAAATCAAATGATAATGAGGATAGTTGAATATATGAATTAAAATATTTCAGATACTAAAAATCGGATCTGTATACTGTTAGAGAAGTAAATGTTCAGCATTTTGTCTTCTTTGTAATAAACTATTATTCAAAATTTTATCTTAACCCAACACCGTGTTAGAGAATAGGAAAGGGAAAAAGATAGTGTCCAAAACCAAATGATAAAGAGTTTAAGCTAATATATAGTACAGATGCTAATATTACTACAACAATGAAATTTTATTTTGACAACATTATTAAAAATATATAAAAAATAGTAGAAATAAGAAGAGAAATAATATAAATAATAATAGCAGAAATTCTTAGGCATGATGGAAAATATATAATAATATAACATTACATAACCTTCCAACTGGAGATTTCCACATAAATATTATACGGTCGTTGGATACAACATAAACTAGTAAATATCATTAATTTAAATAAGTAAATTATAAATCATTAAGGACATTTTTAGATTGACTTTGCTTTGATGTCTATATTTTAAGCAATAGAACTTTGTTTTTAACTTTAAAAATTTCTTATTAAATGAAATTAACCCTAACTACAATACACCTAGAATACATGGAATAGTAGTTACATAAAAGTCCACTTATTCCTATCATCAGTAATATCAATGGGGAAACTGAAATTTTTTTCTAAATATCTCAATTCCACACTCAATAACCTAAAATCAGATAGTAACAATGTAAAAGACTCAATGGAGGTGGATCAAATGCTTGAAAGAATAAATAAAATAGACAATAGATAAATATTGTTTGGTCTGTTTTCATGTAAAAAATTTATTTACCAATATCAACTGGAAATAGGTAATAAAAATAATTGAAAAATACTGGGATACAATAGAACCGCATAACCAAATTAAAGGGTTATATGGAAGATATGGATTAAAATATCTCAGAAACTAAAAATCGGACCTTCATACTGTAAGCGAGGGAAATGTTCAGCATTTGACCCTCTTTATAATGGGCTGTTATTCATTATTTATATTTCATATTATTAATCTCGCCTACTGTTTTCACTTCTATTGTGTGATCTAAAACACAGAAGATAGTTTCGTTTTTTTTTGCTTTTGATATCTTTCGAAGTTTTGAAATCTATTTGAAGAGTTAATTTAAATGAGGAGTGTATTTATATTACTAATAACCACTAATGGGTTGATTGAAACAATAGCCCATGTTACAAAAGTTAGGCTAGAGCACTAGTTTATAACACTTCTTATTGATAGACGCCAATTATAACTAAAAAAAATATTACACAACCTTCAATAGAAGCACTACCATCCCTTTGAATCTGCCAATAAGTTCTTGTATTCTCTTGAAAAATTTTTGTATCTCTTCCTTTAGAAAATCGCATCAAAAGAATTATAATGTCTTTATTAAAATGTACACATCAAATGGTACATATACAAACTATATAAATTTTATAGAAAATATGTTATTCTATGTCAAACTAACGTCATCAACACATTACATTTTAACAAGTACGGAACACAATAATCACTTTCTTACTGTTTTATTGATATAAGTACGGTAGCCCTGAGTAGAAGGAGAAGAGAACATGGATGAAGGTAGCGAATGCCAAACTAACGTTCATTAGTTTCTCATAAGTGAGATAATCAAAAGGTAGTTTTCATGATAAATTTGATCTAGATAAGAATCAATAAGCTAAAGTTTAAGAGGTAGCAGGATATAATACCAGTTACAGTAAAAATTTTAAATACTATGAATTAATAATATTAATTTAAGCAGGTAATCAATTAAAGTTTAAAATTTATAGACATGAAAATACCTGTAATTATGCAATTTCTAGGACAATCTTCCCGAGTGGTTGCTTCTCTTTGATCAATTCCATAGCTTTATTAACTTCTTGGAGAGGGAACGTTGCACTTATTACAGGAGATATGAGACCTTGTTCTTTCATATCTAGAGCATCGTCAACAGCTTTCCTGAATACAAATAATATTTATTATACTTCCAATATAAAACTTAATGTTTCAATAATTTAATCGACTCAATAATGAAATAAACATTAGTCCCAACTAAATCTGCAACTGCCTAGTTTGTATTGGTAAAATAAATTTTATAATCGTAGTAAATTCTTAAGTTCTTACAACTTGACTTGGATTTTTATGATCTAATTAATTCTTGATACAAATATCTAGTCAATCATCCTGAATATTTAGACATTTATATCAAGTTGACGTCACATATGGAAAGTTAAAACAAGAATCTTATCGACAAGGAAAATAGATACCATAGATATCATACCTGCTGGCAGAGATAACATACCCACATATTATTAAAAACTAAAATAAATATAGTCCTGAATCAAATAAAACTAGAATGATTAGTACAGATCTTATTCAACGTTAATGGAATCAACTTGTCTGGAAGAAATCGACTAAGAATGGGAACCGGAAACCTCATCGAATTTCAGAATTTCTAAAGATGATTATTCGGCCATAATCAGAAATATTATCAAAATGTATAAAATTCTACTACATCTAAGAACGATAACCAAAATTTGTATATTTCTAGATACCTTGCTAAACAATAAAAAATAAAATCTATTGGTAAATCAATGAAGATAAAGAACTTAATTTGTAAATGTGACAAGCCAAAACAGATGCTCTGATACAAAGTGAAATATACAATGGGCAAAAAAAGTATTCATACACCCCGTTTTTTGGCAGAAATGGTTCACTATACTTTTTCAAACTTGAAATAATGGCAGATATCAATTACAAACTTCATTTTGTGCTCATTTTATGTAGTGCCAAAATTTAAAATCTCAAACAACTTTTATAACGTAAATATTTCAATAATTTGTACACAAAAAAAGTATTAATACACAAGAGTAAGTATTGATAATACAATAATTTTTGTTATAAAGACAGTGTTTTAACGTTCTATTAATAATCCTTTACTTCAGAGAACTAAACGATAAAACCACAAGAAATTGCTTGTTCAGTTCCGTACTAAAGAATATTTCTTGGCAATGGGTCGTAGGTCCAAAGAATTGAATTCTCATCTTAAAGATGACATTGTAAAACATTTTCAACAGGATTTAAGTTTGCGGAATTTTGCAAAAAAAACGGATCAGTGGACAATAAATCAGAGAGGAAACGCTTGTTGACAGCACGAGAACTTCATAAAATTGTACGTATAGTGGCAAAAAATCCCAAGTTAAGTGCTTGAGATGTTTCGGCTCAGATCACGTCAGCTTATGGGAAATCTTTAACACCTCAAACCATGAGGAATCGGCTACATGAAGCTAGCTATAGACGTAGAACGGTAAGAAAAAAACCATTTATAAACGGAAAAAAACAGAAAAAAAAAATTGCAGTTTGCCCCAGTACATCTAAATAAACCCTACACGTTTTGAGAAAATGTGATGTTTTCAGATGAAAGTAAGTATAATATATTTGGATCTGATGGGAAAAAATATGTTTGAAGGAAAAACGGAAAGGCATTTGAACCCCAAAATCTACAACCCACAGCGAAGCACGAAGGTGGCAGTGTCATGATTTGGGGCTGTATGAGTGCCAAAGGAGTTGGTCAACTAGATTTTATTGAAGGGATTAAGGTTGCGATGCAATTTAAATAAAAGTGAGCAAAAGTTAGGAATGGAGGGCACATATATGTTAAACATGACAATAAAACAAAAGAATGGCTGCTATATAATTTTGCAAATCGCTTAAAACACCTACACAATTACTGTAACTTAATCCAATTGAAAATTTATGGGCGCTGCTGGAATCAAAAATACAAAAATATTCTTGTTGCTCTCGGAATGACTTAATAAACAATCTTAAGAAAGCTTGGGAAGAAATTGGACCAGAGGAGACCAAGAGGTTAGTGGAATCGATGCCTAAAAGACTCATGCTGTGATAATTGCGAAACGGTACCCTACGAAATGCTAAAATCAATTGAGACTGATATTAATTATATTTTCTTTGGGTTAGTTAAATGTAAGAATATTTTTTTTGAGCTTCATATTTGAATATTTCGATATTTTTCATACAATATGAGTTATAAAATTTTACTTTTTTGTACAATTAATGCAAAACGAAATTTTTAATTGATATTTATAGTTGCTTCATGTTGAAAACATAAATAAAAAGATTTTTTACTAAGAAATGTGGTGTACGAATACTTTTTTGGCCACTGTACATCTTTCTTATAATATTCATCTTCATTAGAATGAATAGTTAGAAATGAAGGTACTAAGGATACAGGCTAAAACACACTACAGAATTTTGAAAGAAATGTTAAAATTGATTTAAAATAATTTTTTATACATAGTTTGCCATTAACATTAGTCTTTTAAAATAGAACTGTTTTATTTTAATGATGTGTAAAATCATATAAAAAATCTTCCATTGATCTTAATTTTATAGAACATTTTTAATAATAAATAAACCAGAATTTAAACAAGAAGAAATATTAAAATATCAGGAAAACAAGGAAATCCAATAAAAGTAATGTAACTCCATTGAATACTAAGTTTCAAGCTATGTTCGCAACATCAATTTATATTAATTCACATCATATTAAAATTTAAACAACCCTTGAATTTTTTTTTTGGAACTTATTCGATGAATGTGAAAAATAAAGATATTTGTTTACCTATAGACAGAAAAATCATGCTTTCTATAACTTGTGAGAGAAACGCCAGACAAACTGAAGCACGGTAATGTGAGGAGCTCAGAAATCCTTACACGAGGTAACTCAGAAAGGGTGTAACCAGCAATTATTATATGACCTTCATGGCTAATGCTGAAAATAAAAGTGATTAAATTAGAATAGGAAAAAAATTACAAACCAATTGTTCATTGGTCAACCATTTAATAATTTTCATGAATAAGCTAACATGAACATTATTGAAACATTATCATTGAATTGAAACATATTGCCTTTGAGCAATAAAAAATTATCGCTTGTTGGTAAAGAAAAATTATGGTTAAATAGCAAAAAAAAAATTAAATAAATAAAACAATTAAGGTTAAGAGCTATGATACTTTTCAAGCCAATTACTTCTCTGAATGTTGTGTTACTTTGATCCATGATCTTCTAAGTCTCGATTTTAGTCAGTTAACACTAACATTAAATAAATTATTGAACTTAAATTTAACTATATCATATTAAACAAACCTAAAACCATTTTAAGTTAGATTCAACTTGAATTAGTTTTGAAATGTTCAAATTAGTTTGCTTGCTTACTTGCATTTGACATCCTTATGTATGCCTTATAGAGCAGGAAGAAAAACTAACCTTACCGATAACCACTTGATTCTAACCAGTAAGGTTGAGATTCATTCCGCAAGTCTGTCATCGATGAATGTGAAATTCACCAATAAATATCAATTCACCCAGGTTCAAAAAAAACAAAAAAAAAAACTAATTCTATTAAAATAAAAATCTTAGAGTGGTGAAGGTTGATATGATGGCAGACCCACGAAATAAATTTCAACATATCAGGCGAAATTGAATTAGTGATCTATATCATTGGGAGCTAAGTCCTTTTAGTTTTCCAGGGTAAGATAAATTGCATTACATACTTTACCCAAACCACATTTATTTTAATCCACAAAATAGTATTTTGTTTTATTTTATATGATTTTTTTCCATATATCTATCTATTTGTTACATTATCCTTCATAAAACATAAGGGTTTTATTCTCAAATAACTGTTAAAAGTGGTTCATGATGGCCTATCCATTCTCTAAGTGCTATCCTTTCAAGTAATCATGCAGGGATTAAAATAAATGATAGTCACAAGAAGTGTCAAAATGTCATATTTAAGTTTATTGCAGATGAATATAGTATTTTCTTAATATACTTAATATAGCGTCTTGATAATCCAAACCCATATTAATCCAAAACTCCAAGGAATAGACACAAGAATAAAAAAAAACAGTTAGTTGACTGATGAGAGTAGGAATAGAAATGGCTCTGTATCTCCATACATATTACTGTAAATGCTTCGTGTGGTAGTGTTGAAATTGTATAGTGGCATCTCTAAAAGGAAAATGTTGAAACTAGGCGATCACCTGATTCAGGAATCTCTTTATACATGGTTTTTGCAGCAGAGATTTACAAGGATGTCCAATTTCCAGTGATATATTAGCTCAAAGTTTTTCTTTAATCATTTTTTAAAGAAGGGTGACGATGGGGATTTTAATTCCAGTAAACGTAGGCTTAATAATTTAAAAAAAAGTATTTTACTTGTTCTATTCATTATTTCTAGAACTGGTGTCTTGAGGTTTTATTTTTTATATAAATTAGGCCATTATTCACCAATATTTTATTAATTAATTATTCTATTACAACGTTTGGACCATCACTAGGGCCATTTTCAAGCCTGGAAAATTTTTAATGTCATTGTTAGTTTACATTTACAAAAATTTTATTTCATATAATTAACTAATCTAATGATCCATGCCATACAATTTCATTATACATAGATTTGTGTACTTTTTTAAAAATCTCATGTATGTAACTTTACTCATATACAAGTGATTGTTACCTTAATGAGTTCTCCATTAAATTTCCATTATTCAGTGTCGCGTTAATTTTTCAGAGAAAATTAAGCTGTCCTGATATTTTAGAGTTTCCCCTACGTCATCTGTGGAGGACCTGACTTATATCGTCCTGATGGGGATAGTCAGAGGGAGAGGGGCTTTTCTTCTATTGTTTTACGCTGGTGTATTATTTTATCTAATTTAAGATTTGTATATTGCTTATAAATTAATTATTATATTATATGTGAATATTATTTATTACATTTGCATAAAAGGTATTTATATTGTCCACACCTGTATGGTTGTTAACGGAACTCTTAAAATGTTTAGTGATGTATATTGACTCTATCATTTTTCTTTTGTTGTTACTATTTTCCTTTTATATTATTTTAGCATTTTAAAATCAAATTGGTGTTTATTGTATGTTGCGTGTTGTGAAAGGACATTAACAACATGTGAACAAAATTGTAAGTATAAATCAATCACATCAACCGGCCTTTCACGATACACGACATACAATAAACACCAATTTGATTTTTAAAATGCTAAAATAGTATATTAAAATAAATTAAAATTTTTCCAGACTTGAAAATGGCCCTAGTGATGGTCGAAACATTGTCGCAATAACATAATTAATAAATAAAATGTTGGTGAATAATGGCCTAATTTATATAAAAAATAAAAAGAAGTATTTTAATTTTTATTTCATTGGAAAATTTTGTTTTTTACCCATTTTATTTTTCATTATATATAAGTCATAGAAACACTATAATGACATTTAACACTTGCCAAGCATGAGCGAATGGAAACATCGATTACCGAAGCCTAGTATCAAATCAAAATCAAATCAGAGACTCAAAATACATCATTTTCAGAATTCCTTTTTTTGTTTACAATGTGTTAATATTTAACTGATAATACATATAGTTTCCTTACATTGTGAATTTTTTCCATCATTTTAAATTTAACCTTTGATTATCCGAACATGATAATATAAAGAGGCCATGCAATCTACTTGTTTGGATTATCAAGGTCGTCCTGTACTATTTTCTTAACTGTGTGCAGAACAAAGTGGCATCTATTCTTATCCATCTTTCAGTCTTTCAGTATTCAATTGACTTTTCACAAGGGGCAGACAGATTTCATTTTCTAGAAATAGCTGCAATTCACAAGCCATGTTAAAAGAGGTGTTCCATTGTTGGACCACTTGGAGCAATTCTATGGTCACAGGGAGTAACTTGATAAGTAGAACAGTGTTTCTGTGGGTAAAGGTTATGTGTAGTGTGATTGACTTGCTCAGAGTTATTTTCCGTGGCCATATTATTAAAATTATATTCTTCAATGGACAAGGCAATATAAATTATCCTTATGAATAAAACACCTTAAGCCATATTATAGAATGAGAACATGTAAAACTTTAAGGGCATATAAAAACTTTGGATGTATTGATTTTGTTTTCCTCATAAAAGTCAAATTTATGATATTAAAGCCAAATTATATGAATAATTTCATCCACTAACAAACAGAAGAAAAATATTACACAAACATCATCAAATTATCAACATTTCAAAATAAACATTTGTTAAAAATCAAACTAACCATTTCATACAAGTATGCAATGCTTCTCCTCCTAAGGTATCATAAATTACATTCAATCCTACGTCCTTAGTCAGCTCTTTTACATCATGGAGGATTTCTTTTTCACTAAATGAAGTAGCCATCCAGGCTCCTCTTTTTCTAAGGTTTGCAGTTTCTTCATTAGACATGCATACAGCAATAACCTGAAAACAATCAAGATTACAAATGTTGAAGATTAAGATTACAAATTTTACTGGCTACTTATTGACGCTTTATAAAAAAAAAGTGATAGAAGCAGTACTTTTTACTATAGCAGTTATGTGGTTTTAAACCTGTTAAGGTAGCAGTTTCTTACTCAGGAAAGGGTAGTTACTGATGGCTCAGCTGAGAAAATTAGGATGAATTGGAATACAGTGGAAGAATAGAGGTCTCTATGATCGAGAGAGGGGGAGTTAATATTATTCATTGATGGTGGACAATTTGTAGCAAATATACAAAATTTGTATACTGAAATTTGTATACATGTTGGTTCCAAACAAAAATGAAGATTTAAATTAATTTTTGTTTGCTTTGTGGATTATATTTATCGATAAAGTAACATTTGATGTCTTAATCTTTTGATAAGTTGCATTTTCTTATTAATTAGGCATTTGATAACAATATGCTGAGTGAATTTTTTGCACGGGCCTACTAGTAATAAATAATTATATTTAAATTTAGATTAAATTAGAAATTAATAAATTAAATTATATATACTTGACAGAAAAATTAAGTAAGAGTAGAAATGTTTCGTGGAGGAGATTGTATACCTAAAAATTATAATGCTAAAAAAAACTGGTGGTGTGGCTCACTCATGTGGTTCGTTGAATTAAATATAAATTGTTATTTATTGAATTTATTATTAATACTCATAGTACGAAAGGTTTTCAATAAATTGAATTTTTGTCGAAACATTGTTCTTTGAAAATATATTATGATATAACAGTTGTATTTGTCTGAAACAATTATTCAGATCATTACTTACTTAAATTTTAGAAATATTAAGACATGCAACAGTCAAAGAGACAAAGCAGATTTAGGAAGAAAATACATAATTTTTCTGCCAACTATGGTGATTGGATGTGACTGCAGGAAGTTTAATACAGCTTTGAAGAAATAGAATAGACCATACAGAACTATATATCTAATTAAAGGAAGGAGATGGTCCGGGGTGATGGCCATAAATAGGCTAAATAGTGGTAAAACAATTTTATTAAAAGCCAACGTTTCGACCCGACTTTACAGGTCTTCTTCAGGAAGGTGTGTTCAGCTAGGAGTTTCACTTAGAACTCAGTTCTATTTAGCCTATTTATGACCGCCACCCCAGACCATTTCCTTCCTTTATAATGCAACGGTCAACTATTAAATATTCTATATATCTAATTGTTTCTCTTGGCAATCAATAATTTCCCAAATCATCATTATGACATAATTTTCCACCCAAGCAGTGTAACAGTTCTGGGTAATGATATTTTATCAAATAAAAGTTTTAATGATAACAGCCATGTTATGACAGTTTCTTTGTTTTCATTACGGTTGCGGTGGCTAAGTGTGTTAAACTGTTGCCCACAGTATTACACCCAAGACTAGCAGCACTGGTATGATTGAAGCCTGGGCGGGTTGAAATTTACCTCACTGAATAAATCTCAACCTACCCACTCTGGTTAGAACACATTTCATTATACCTCTATAATACCTTCTCTCTTCCCAGCCAGTTATGAAGGAAAGGGGCAAAGGAAGAAATTGAGTTTTAATATGTCAAATAAAATAAAAAATGATGGTCAAGTACAAGTTAAATTAAATCAAAAATGCATATTAATTGACTAATGAGTCTTGGCTGTCATAAATTATTAGTATTACAACTACTAGTCTACATGAAATTGAATTACTTTAGCTTTATAAACATTAGCAGCAAGATCCAAAGCAGCAAAACCGTGAGCAGCAGCCATCGTTACAAGAACAGTTTGTTTTTCAGACAAATGTCCTCTGTGTACAAGTCCTAACATGGCAGTACCAAAGGAATCTGGAAGTGCAGCTGCGACTTTGAAATCAAGTCCACCGGACAGAATCCACGTATCCTATCAACAATCATTATTATAAATATACAAGTTTTTTAATTCATTAAACAAATATCCAAACTTTGTAATAAGGTTAAGATAGTATAACTATATATTATACTATTCCTTTTCTAATTAAATTTTGAGGAATATCAAAATTATTAACTATCACACATTTACAGAATTGATATTGTAAGCACAAAACTTTTGTCACTCGACTTACTTTTTCATCAACGATACATTCTTCAGCAAAACCGCCAAGAGTACTTTTACTTAGTGCTACGACTTTGTCACCTTTGGCCACATCGGTACAGCCTTGTGTTTCTAGAACTGTGCCACTGACTTCATAGCCGGGGACAATGGGAAGAGGGAAATTGCCTGGATTAGCTCCTTGAGTCAAAAGATAATCAGAAGAATTAATAGAACAAGCATGAACCTTAATTCTCACCTAAAAGAAATAAAATGTGTCACTTCCAATTTTATAATAGTCAAATTAGAAATAACATTATATATACAAAAATCTTTGGGCAAGGAATAGGATTGTAAATCCATGCTTTGCAGATCACAGACATGCATGGAGTTTATGCAATATGTTTACAGTATGGAAGGAAATCGTAAATAAACTTGTTCTCCCCTAAATCAATCCAATGATTGAAGCATAAAGTTCAATAGAATTGCAATAAAAATCATATCAACAAGTTATCAACTAAAATAAAATTCAATTAACAACTCTTATTTTGAATGATGGTTAGTTTAGAATATAAATAGAAACCAACAAATATTTAGTAAATTAAAATGAATGTAATAAAATATGAATAAAAGTGAAAAAAATAATAAGTAAAAGTACCAGACTTAATGCTGAAACTAAAAATTAATTAGAACTTTATGTTAAATTAGATGTGAATTACCTGCCCTCTCTTCAGTTTTTTTTGTGGAAGTTCTTCAATTAATAAAGGTTCATTTAAATTCTTTAATACTGCAGCTTTATAGTTGGATGCAAATCTCCTATTTATATTATTTTTTGTATTGTGAGTCACATGACTGGTAAACAGTGATATAAATCTTTTAAATGCCATTTTTTCGAGGTAATTTTGTAAGCTAAAAATTTACATATTAGGGAGACAGGAAAGTTAATTTCATTAACATTTATTGTAAATAGACTTTCATCCACCTCCGGCGGAAGGCTTTAGCATTGTTATAATTCCAGTATTCCAACCGAGAACAAAGAGATGTGTTGCAAAGAAGTAAATATTAGCAAAACTCACAATAATGATTATGGGTGATAAATTAATCATGATTTATTTTCCGAAATTAATTCACACTAGGATAAAGTATATTGACAACTGGCAAGTTGTTGGGATTATTTTGCAAGGTGGCTGTGAAGAATCCAGTATTATCTCTCTGACACTTCATTCAATTTTAATTTGTATGTTTTTAAGATATATAAATTTCGATCTGTGAGAAACTGCTTAAGCCCAATATACAAAACAAAGTAAGTAACTGATTTATCAGACCAAATTTTATCATGGGTCAAGAACACCTCAACTTGCTTTACAAAAATTGCTCACGGGATCCTATCTGTTTAGCAACTAAGTCGACTAAATGGGGACAAGTTACTTAACTTAGCGCTGAGTCAATCAAAGACATCGAATTTATCTTTGAACTTGGCTGAACGTTTAGTTCTGGAACTGATATCACCTGCCAGCTCTGTACAATTCAAATATTGAGAAAACAAAATAACTCAATTGCGAAATTACGAACAAGATAGAGAAAAAAAAGATTAGATAAATACACTTATACTAAATATTTTTCAATTAAATTTACTTCGTTGAAAAAGTGCATTATTAAAGTCAATTTTCTAATGGAAGAAATGTAGGTGGACATCGAAATTCAGTTTTGTATGATGGGTGATGGGTAAGCAACTAAACTACATAGTTATAAAGTTCTTTGCTACCAGATGGCTTCAAACCATGATTATCTGCCTTAAGAGTCCGTTTTTAGTGAAAAAAGGGGTCTCCTAGAATCTTTTTTAGCACTCACTGTACACACTTCATGATCACTACCCACTTCTCTCTTTAATTCGTTATGATTAAAGTGCCATATAATTAAAATTTCTTACAATCTATTAATAAATTCCTCTTCCTTCAAAGAAAATCCTGGTTTGTTCCTTATCTTTGCATAAATAGTAAACTTCAAAAATATTCGTCGTGTTATCACTTTATAACCGCAATTACACAAACAATAGTAAATTAAATAATATTTAAAAATGTGATTTTATTTCTATATCGATGGTATCAAGTTTCATAAGAACTGTTATTACATATCATTAAAAATGGCGGGCCTAATCTAAAGAAGATCCCAAGCAACAAAGTTTCACAGGAAGTTTAATCTAGGTACTCTATTGGATAGTGCCATTTTGTTATTGTTAGTGCAAAAGGTCGTATGTAACAATTTTACAGGTTTATTCCCTTTGCGCTTAAGGTGACATTTTGTAATCTGCTAAATAGGAAAAATAGGAGAGGAAGATAAAATAAGAAATTATACTAAGGATCATAAAGAAATATTAGATTTTTGTGTAAAAAAAACAACTCAATTTTTACATAACATCTTTTGCACTAACAGTAGCAATATGTATCGTATTTTTCTTTATCCTGGTGTAGTGATTTCTAAAAAATTTACTGAGCATTACTTTGCACTAGAATTTGAAGATACATTGTTTCTGTAATATTCGGTGCTAATTGTCTAAATTTGATTATTGACTGATTTTATTTTTAATTTCTACAACTTTGCATTATTAATATATATATATATATGCAGTGATAGATATGCTTCTTGGTAAATTAGGATCCCTTAGATACGAGTTTTCAGCCTATATTGTTATGTTGCCTATTCTATTATGATGTTAAATAAAAAACCGGTTACATCAAATCGGTCTTTCATTTATCAACAGTCATAAAATTTTCATTTAATTTATTTTATCGTTAATTTATCGTCGAAGTTGTAAAAAAATTACTGATGATTGAAACGAATAACAAAAAGATTGGACAATATTTAGAGTTAAAATATAACCTAAATCAATCATCACTCATAGTAAATACAATGTTAAAAAATGTTGAGATAAAAAACAAAACTGCAACTGATTACCACAATATAAAACTATACACGTAGCACATCAGATTTACAACTATTTTTCTTTTCTTTAAATAAAATATTTACTCCCGATTAAAAATAGATTTTTGTCATAAAAAGTTCACTGTGTTCACATGGAATTTGATCTATTACAACCTCTGATTTCGTGTTTTTCTTTTAATTTTCATAATCACTGTAGTTTTAGAAATCGTAAAGTTGGCTTACGATCTTTTGCTAAAAACCTAGAATCATTTCAACGCTATGACCAGTTAAAAATAAATTAATCCATTAAGTATAAGAAACAAAACAGATTAAAAAAAAAATCATATATCAAAATGTGACATTTAATGGGTCTGAAAAAACAACTTAAATAAACCTTCGTCAATTGGATGTCACAAAAATCGATTTGAAATTTGAGATTATTGAGAACAATTTGAAATTCCGCCCGTGTGATGTACCTTTCTTTAAAATCTTATGTGAAATCTTATATGCCTATCAAATAAGTAAGATACCTATCAATTATCTTCAAACATGATATATATAACATAATAGTTTATTTATTAATGCAAACAATCTGGCTTAGATTTATCTCTACAATATCCGCACAGTTGTCTAAAAGAGAGGTGTTAGGAATACGTGAATGCCAGACTTATTGATCAAACGACCACTTGTACCAAATAATAATTCTTTACACTTTCATTTTATAATAATATCATAAATTGATAAAGGAAATAGACATTCTTATCGGCGAAAAAATTAAATGAGGAATATTGGCACAATCAAAAGTTAATATATCTACTCATGTCAGACTGAAACGACAAGAAACCGCTCGACGTTTCCGATTACTTCAGCGCTTATTAGACAAACTCTCTAAACTTCCAATTAATTACAAAAGACTCATATACATTACTATGATAAGGCCTATTTAGACTTAAGCAGTTGATCTATGGGGCTCCACTAAACCATCGAATTCCTCTCGTATCCAATCCTTACAATCCAAAATCCTTAGTAAAATCCACAATGCTCCCTACTTTGTTACAAATAAAACCATCCATAATGACCTTAATGTTTTATACGTTTCAGATCTGCCCAATCCAGATACCTATCCTTCCATAATAAACTTCAAAATCATCCCAACCATCTCGTTTCTAACTTTGCTTCCTCTTGAATTCCTGATAACCCTCCGAGGCGTCTGAAAAGAAGATGGCACCGTGATCTTCTAACGTCTACGTTATATTATTAGAGTACAACCATTGGGTAGTTTCTCAACAAGTGTTTTCGTCTACATTCCTAAAACGTATATATATTTTGACAGATTAAAATTCTACAACAGAAAATTATTCGATTTATTTCAAAATTTGAATTTTCCTACGTCAGTTGGTTGTTTAGTATTAACGTCAGTTGGTTGTTTAGTATTAAATTCATATTAATGTAATCAATAAATCAATGTAATCAATAAAAAAAAATATTTATCTTTACGTGACATCCAATATAATTTATTTGTAATAACTTACCAAAGTGGATCGATTGTATTTTAATATAATGCTCCTCAACTGATTATTATCATTTTTCTGGAATAAATTTTATGTTGTAGCAACTGATAGCATTTTTTTTTTAAAGTATGATTTATTTTTTCACCTTATCCTAATTTTTAATTATACCTTATGGATTCATCCGATTGAATTCCAAACACAAAACAATTTTATGCTAAACAAAAAAAATAATCGTTACTCACAAACTTCTTTGATCGGGGCAGAAATTTCAGTAATTCACTATTTAGCAATATCAATTGCTAACTCCTATGTTTTGCTGTCGTTCTCACGGATGAGTTTAGACTCGTGACCGAAGTAAAGAAAAATGTCGGCGTGCCTTTTTTGTCCTTCCACTGAAGGATATGAACATCCCTGAACTTAATAGAAAAAGAAATGCGGAGATGTATTACGTTACTCCATTTCATAATTTACAATAAGAATGTTGCACTTTTCTTGTTCATATAAATATTTATACTTACTTACTACCTATACTTGCTTATACTTATGAACTTACATATATACATATGTATATGTAATAAGACTTTAATTTTCTATGTACATTATTTTTTTTCTCTTATTTTTTTTTTCAGTGTTGAAAATGAATTGCCATCACCATTCACAAAGCGTTGTGAGTAGGTACAATTGGTTTTTCTTAATTTCTAATTTTCCAGTTCATAAAATAGTATATCTTTGAAATGTATTTTATTTTTTACGTATCTTCGACATACTCCTCTCTATGTTTATATATATATATTTTATTTTATTTTTTCTTCTCCTAATCTTTATGTGTATTCGCTTAAACTTCTTAAGGAACAAATGTAAATCATTTATTTACAGTAGTTAATTTTTTTGTTTTATTGATCATTATGTAATTGTTTTAGCTCTAATCTTGTAGTATTTTAACCCCATTACCCATTTGTTTTCGTTAATATATGCTAAGAGCTATGCATATACTTATTTCATTTCTTGTATTTTAGTTATTCCCTATTGTAATAGGTCTTTTGGCCAGATTTATTCCTAATTTTTAGGAACAATATTCTTTTTCTTAAGAGACCTAGCCCCAGAATAAAGATGATTTTTTATTTCTATTTCTATATATTTTTCATACCACGTCGGTTCTATTCTATATAAGAATTCGATGGTCTTACAGTTACTTCATTTATTTATTTTCTTACCACTTTTGTTATGAATTTTTTTATCTTTACTAAAATAGAATTTTATTTCTTTATCTTTTATAGTCCGTGGTTCAGATCCCTTTTTATCAAATTATTAACATCCACCTGAAATTTCGTGAATGGCTTCATCTCATCGTAGTCTACAACTATTTTATTTATAAAAACTCTTGGAATTGGGGCGTATTCAATCTGGAGATCGGAAAACTATGTATATTTAATTAGGTACTTAAAACTCGTATATACCCATCTGCTTTCCAATTGGATCGTAAGATAATTTGATCTCTAAAACGAGAAAAAAAGGTGGCCTTAAAAACTGGTGTAGGTTACGCCATGCGACTCAATATTTTTGAAGGCCACCTTTTTTTCTCG